TGTCAAATGATAATGTATACCTGAAAATTATATAATTGTATTAACCAATGTTACCTCAATAAACTTAATTAAAAATTTAAAAAAATCAATGCTATCTACATTGAATTAATAAAATTTGTAAACATAAAAAAAAAAAAGGGAGTCCAGAAATAAACCCATATTTATATGGGCAAATAATTTTTGACAGAAAAGTAAAAACCCTACAGTAGATAAAGGAAATCCTCTTCAATAAATAGTGCTGGGAAAACTGGAAAGTCAACTGCAAAAGAATGAAACTAGACTATTGTCTATCACCATACACCACAATTAACTAAAATGGATTAAGGACCTGAATATAAGACCTGAAACAATAAAATGCAAAGAAGAAAACATAGGAACTAAAGTCAAGGTAAAAATCAACTGCTGTTTTTCTGCTGTGCCACTTCTCTGCCTTCTGCACTGATGACTGGGCCCTGCTGCCGGCCAGCTATGGGGAGCTCACAGCTTTCCCAGGTAAGGTTGTTTAAGGAACTCGCCGCTCCTTCTCCTCTCCCCTTCCTCCTACAGGGAGCTCTGGCAGATGCAAGAAGCAGCTTCTTTATTTCTCCTAGTCCACCGCCCGACACCCGGGGTTCTGATCTGTGGTAGCTGTTATGCACAGATCCCATGCTCAGGCGTGCTGGTGTGCAGTTTGGGTGTTTTTTGTTGAGTTTTAGATTTTCAGCTTATTTTTGTTTCAAGGGAAGAGATTTGGGGACGTCTCTCACTCTGCCATTTTTCCGAAAAACTCTAAGTATTTTTTAAAAAATTATTTCTTAAATATTTTCCTGGATTAAAGTTTAAATATTAATTCTGTTCTATTATCTTATTTTTCTTTTTCAAGGAATGAAATTGTACAAATGCTGTTGCTTCTTTGCCTTATCTCCCATTTTATTATAGTAGGTCCTCAAATAATATCATTTTTCTCAACATCATTTTGATGAGAAGGAAAAAATCAATTCCTACCTAGGGCCACTGTGTGCGTGGAATTTGCCTCTTCTCCCAATGTCTGCATGGATTTTCTCTGTGTAATCAGGTTTCCTCATCCCAAAGATGTTCACAGTAGGGTAACTGATGTGTCTAAATTTTCCCACTTTGAGAGTAGATTCGTTAGTACACCCTGCGATGGAAGGGCATCCTGTCCAGAGTGTGTTCTTTCCTTGCATCCTGAGCTGCCAGGATAGGCTCTGGCCAACCTCTAACCAGAACTGGAACCAGCAAGTTGGAAAATAATTATCTTAACTTGCTTTAATTAATAGTTCTTAAATGTATGTATAGCTCACCTTTATTTCAGTATTTAATATTAGAAGTGTTTTCGGTCTTTATTTAGAAGTTTGGTGATTTTGTGACCAGAAATATGCCATAGGAACTTAACTGTTGTTTATATCAATTAGCCTGTGGTCAAATTGGTTTCATTACACATCATTTCACTTAAAGTTGCAGTTTCCAAGAACCCGTTGGTGATGTTAAGGATTTACTGTAGTTTCTCCCAGACTTTTTTTTACTTTATCTTCTTCATTCTATAATTTTCTGCCATTTTCATTGTCTTTTATTAAATTACATTTTAAATTTTCATTCGAGTGCCTTGTAATTTATTTTTCATTACTGAGATAATATTTTTTCTTTCTTTTCTTTCTTGAGTTCAGTGAAGTTCCTTCCCTTTCTCCCCTCCCCTCTTTTTTATCTTTCTAATTCAGAGTGGGTTTCCATGTACCCAGTTGCTTGTTATATTTAATTCTGCTTGGAGTATCATTGCAGTAGTCCTCTACTTTATGGTTGTTTTTGGGAGGGGGAGGGGGCGGGGGAGAATTTTCCTCAGTTGATGTGTTGGTTTTCATTTTCTACTTCTTTAAATAACTCTGTATGGAACTGTTCATCTTTTTCCTGTTTATTTTTGTGGTATTGTGATGTATTTCGTGAGATTCTGGTTTAGTGAAGGCTTCAGTATTGCAAAGTCTAGGCACTTTTTGGTGTAAGGCTAGATATGTAGACCAATGGAAGAGAATGGCAAATTCCACTTATGGTCAGTTGTTTTTTGACAAGTTGCCAAGGCACTTCAGTGGGAAAAGGAGCTTTTCAACAAATGGTGCTGGGAAAATTGGATTTCCATGTGTGAAATATGAACTTAGATGCTTATATCACATCATTCATAAAAATTAACTGAAAATGGACTTAAATGTAAGAGTTAAAACTATAAAACTTCTAGAAAAAAACAGGAGAAAAATTTTGTGTCCTTAGATTAGAAAAAGATTTCTTATGTACAGGACAAAAAGTACAATCAATAAAAGAAAAATAATAGCTAAATTGGGCTTCAGTAAAATAAACTTTTGCACTTCAATAAGTAAGTACTGTTAGGGAAATGAAAGGGCAAGTGACAAAGTGGGAGAAAATATTTATAAACTATATCTGATAAAGGACTTATGAAATATATAAAATCTTATAATTCAATAGTAAAACAACCCCATGAAAAAATGTATGAGTTCTCAATAAATATTTTACCAAATAAGATATATTAATGGCTAATAATCACATAAAAATGCACATCATTAGTCATTAGGGAAAAGCAAAATAAAATCAATGAGATACCATTTTGTACCTCCTAGAATAGTTATAATCAAAAAAACTGACAGTCTCAAGTATAGGTGAGTATGTGGAAAAACTGGAGCCCTCATACATTGTTGTGGGTATGTAAAATGTTATAGTCACTTTGGAAAAAAAATTTGGTAGTTTCTTAAAATTAACAATATAAACTTACAATATGATCCAACAATTTCACTCCTAGATATCTGCCCAAGGGAAATGAAACATATCTCCACTCAGAGACTTACATGTGAATATTTATAGCAACATTATTCATAATAGCCAAATGCTGAAAATAAGTTAAATATCCATCAGCTGGTCAATGAACATACAAAATATGGTATATCCATAGTATTCAGCAATTAAGGAATAAACTACATGCTAAGACATGTACAAACCTCAAAAACATAATGCTAAGTGAAAAAAGCCTGACACAAGACAATATATCATGTGAGTCAATTTATATGAAATTTCTAGTTTATATGATTTCATTTATATAAAATTTCTCTAGAGACAGAAAGCAACCAGTGATTGGCTTGGATTGAGGTGGGAGTGGGAATTGACTGTAAATTAGCACAAAGGAACTATTTGAGATGATGGAAATGTTCTAAAACTGCACTGTGGTTTAAGAACATTGTGGTTTTAGAACAATGTTTGGTAAATTTACCAAACATTGAATTGTATACTTATAATGGGTGAATTTCATGGTAATACCTCAGTAAAATTGTTTTTAAAAAAGTAAACAGAGGAAGGATTTCCAGGTAGCTTAAGATAGTAGTGGCTGCCTTCCTTTTCACCTCCCAGTTCTTTCTCAATACACAATACAGAAATGAATAAACATAGAATTGAAACCACATGGAAACCATACTTCCAGCATGACTTGAAGACAGAATGTCCAAACTTCAGAATAAATGTAAATAAAATGGAACAAAAAAAAACATTACTAGTGTATGATCTCTCCTGCTCAGGATGTTCTTGTAGATCAGATCATGGACTACATGGAAGGGGCTTAACTTTAAAAGTACCATGCAATTTGAAGAGGCAGGTTTTTAGCTTCTGGGAGAAGCTTGGCAGGGAGAGGGTGGGTGATCAAAGGCAAAGAGGGAGAGGCACCTTTTGGCAGTTAGATGTGAAGGAGGAAAGAAGCATGAGGGAAAAATTTAGTATTGTGCAAGACAAGAGAGAGCCAAAAAGTGAGGTCAAACAACTCCATCAGGAATGTGTTGAGAGTTTAATTATCCCCTCTTTGGTTTTCTCATTTCCATGATCTCTGTTAAATTTCTAGCTAGTCTGCCATTCTATCACTTGACCTAATAAGCAGGCTAGTAGAACTGTGGCTTACCCTGTTCATTTCCTATCAAGTGTTACTTTTACCGATGGTGAGTTTACTATTTTTATTGACAATGCTTCTGGCCAGGGTTTTTCTACTCTTAAGCTTCAAATTCAGTCAGCTATTGGTTTTCACAGCCAGACCTACCCTAGTAAAACTACAGCATTGACCTAACTTGGGGATGATGGCAGGATGGTAGCAGTCCTAGAACATCATATATTTCCACATATCATGTTATTTCATACATGGTATATCGTACTATATATTCATATACATCACATATGATATATATGAAAAATGTGGCCTTGTCACAATTATTGCATATAGTTGGGATCTTCAAGAATAGGTATATAAACTGCATACTAAGGGCCAAATCCCTCCCACTGTTAGGTAAATAAAATTTTATCGTAACATCTACTCTCATTCATTTATATATTGTTTGTGGCTGCTTTCATACTACAGCAGCAGAGAGTATGTATAGCCCACAAAGCATAATATCTGGCTTTTTACACAAAAAGTTTGCTGACCTTTGCTTCAGAGTATTATCATCATCATAATTAACATTATAATTATTAAAAATAACACTTTGTCTAGTGTTTTTAATTTTACACTTGTCCTTATATTTATTTCCTCAATAACCCAATATGGCAAGCTGGATGGATGTTAAATTATCATTTATCAGATTTCAAAAACTAATGGCAAGCTTGCATAAGTATGAATATATAAATTATAATTCAAACTAAATATTCTAAAAACATTTTAGTTATCTAACAATCCCAAAGTTTAACAACAGAATACAAAGAGAATACATTATAGTAATTTAATTTTGGCCTGGAATAACATTCATTCTAACAATAATCTGTTTACATTCAATTCTCCCTCCATCATGCCTGCTCTTTCATGACCAAGTTATTGCAAAGTCTTAGTAATGAGAAAATGCACATTTTTCTTTGGCATTTTGAAATATCCTTGGCTTAACTATTAGTTTGCATTTAAACAAGGAATATTTAAATTGTTTAATACTAAATACTTTCCCTTTGTGGAGCAGTTTCCTTAGTTCAACATAACTTACCTTTTAGAAGAGACATTCACTGTTCTTTGTTGAATAATATGTCTGTAGATTGAACAAAAGGGAGAGAAGTTATCTGGAAATGTGTCTTCTCCTTGAGGTGTTAAAGATAGTCCAACAAAAGCTTCATTTAGCATATCTCCTCTGTCCAAAGGCCCCAGGAGTTCTGTTATAAAATGATTAAGATATGAGTGAAATGCAAATACAATTTTTGCTAACTTCTTTATAAGTATGATTACAGGAAAACTTTTACATACTTCAATGAAATTTTTTTTTTTTAATTTGTCAATTTACTATGTAGCACACAGTGGAAATCTTATAGTCCCAGTCCCCTGTGACTTTTGTCATTCTTTCACTTCACTCAACTAGGGGAGTCTGACAACTGAATAATGAATGTTTTTCAGTTCAGATTTTAAAAAGTTTGTTTATAACTTGCCCATTGTGTCTTTAACCAGCATTTTGTTAATTAAATGTTATATTTTTGTTGTTAACCAACAACTGGAATATTATACTGGAAAATTTTAAGAAGTGAATTATTTAACTTTCTCACAAGTAGCACACAATTTGAAAACAAAGAAAAGAAAATGTCTTTTCCAATATTTGCTCTTAATTAGAATTTTAAAGTGTATAGAGAGAATTTGCTATTTCCATGTCATACAGATACATGGGGAAAATATAATGAAGCTGTGAAAACACATAAACGTTATTAAAAGCCAAAACCCTTAGGACCACACTGTGTATGTGTGCATTTTTAGTTTAAAAACTTTTTAATTATAAAAACCACAGAACTTAATTTTTATCCCATTAACCATTTTTAAGTGTACAGTTTAGTAGTAGTAAGTGTATTCACATTATTGTGCAACAGATCTCCAGAACTTTTTCATCTTGCAAAACCGACACCGTACACCCATTAAACAATTCTTCATTTCTCCTTCCCCTGAGCCTCTAGTAACCACCATTTTACTTTCTGTTTCTATTGATCCGACTACTTTAGATACCCTCTTATAAGTGGTATCATACTGTTAGATAGTCATGAGTGACAGGAGTGAAGGCCCAGCTTTGTAACCATAGAAACCTTCCTTAAGGACCTCCTTAAAATACCCATTTTATGATTATGAATTACCCCAAATCCTAAGGCACAAAGGCCATAAGAGCTGCTGGCTTAACCAGCCACAAAACGTGTACACAGAAAGTACTACCTTTAACCTTCCCATAATCTAAGCCTCATTATAGCATCATTATATCATCCCTATGCCTGGGAGTTCATAAATCTAGTTAAAATACACTGAATTCTGGGTAAGGACATGTGCAGTAGTCAAAGAGTTATATGGTAGCCAACTGTCAGTCGAAGTAATCTCATATGAGGATCATCTAGTACCACCCTCGTACCCTCCCATCCAACCAAATATAAACAGACTTTTGTGCTATTACAGCTGTCTTCACTGAAAACCTGCTCCTCCCTTGGAGTGTACTCTGTCCTTTATATTTTCACCTTCCAAATTCCACAGGGCTGCAGCCTTCCTTAGTGTAGCCTGTCACCTTCTAAAACACACTTTCAATCTTACTTTTTCTAAATCTTGCTGACCTGTAATTTTTTACTGCATGGGCGGGGAAGAACTGAGGACCTCCTCCATGCTGCTGGGGTAATGCTGGATTTCACATCATCCCAGTGGTAATAATACATTATTTGTATTTATATGACTAGCTTGTTTCACCTAGCATAATGTTTTCATAGTTCATCCATGTTTTGGCATGTGACAGGATTTCTTTCTTTTTTTTAAAGCTGAATGATAATCCACTCTGTGTGTGTGTATATATGTATATACCACATTTGGTTTATCCATTCATTTGTTGATGGACACTTGGGTTGCTTCCTCTTCCTGGCTACTGTGAATTTTGCTGCTATGAACATGGGTGTGCAGATATCTTTTTGATATTTTAATTACAATTCTTTTGGATATATACCTATAAGTGAGGTTAATGGATCATATGTAAGTTCTCATTTTAATTGTTTGAGAAACCACTATATTGTTTTCGTTGTGGTTGCACCATTTTACAGTCTCACCAATAATGCACAAGTATTCTAACTTCTTCACATTCTTGTCAATATTTATTATTTTTTTTTTACTGTAGCCATCGTAAATTGGTGTGAGGTGATAATTCATTATAGTTTTAATTTGTATTTCCATAATAATTAGTGATATTGAGCATCTTTTCATGTGCTTATTGGCCATTTGTGTATCTTCAGAGAAATGTCTCTTTGAATCCTTTGCCTATTTTTGAATTGGGTTTGTTTTTTGTCATTGAGTTTGAAGAGTATTTTGTGTATTCTAGATATTAATTCCTTAGATATATATTTGAAAATCTTTCCTCCCATTCCATGCATTACCTTTCCATTCTGTTGATAGTGCCCTTTTTATATTTTTACTGATAATTTTTTATTTCATATATTGTACCATTTGGTTCTAGTATTTCCACTTGGTTCATATTTTACATTCGTCTGCTGAGATTCCTCCTCATCCATTTATTCACGATGTAGATATTCCCCTTTAAAGTCTCAAAAGTCTTTACAATAGTTGTTTTATGGTCCTTGTATTATAGTTACTAACAGTGTCCTTTGATGACCAAAAGTTCTGAATTTTGATGTAGTCCAGTTTATCTATTTTTACTTTTGTTGCCTGTACTTTTGATGCCATATCTAAGAAATCATTGCCAAATCAATGTCATGCAGATTTCTTCCTGGTTTGTTTCTAAGAGTTTTGTAGTTTAGGTCTTACATTTAGATCTTTGATACACAGTGAATTATTTTTCATATAGGGTGCAAGGGTAAGGGTTGGACTTCATCTTTTGCATATGGACATATAGGTTTTCCCATACCATTTATGAATAGACCATCCTTTCCCCATGAATGGACTTGGCACCCTTGTTGAAAATCATTTGACCTTATGTCAGGGTTTACTTGTAGAGTCTTTATTAAGTTCTGTTGGTCTGTATGTCTTTTATGATAATATCATACTGTTTTGATTACCATAGTATTATAATAAGTTTTGAAATGAGGAAATGTGAGTCTTCCAGCTTTGTTCTTTTTCCAGACTGTTTTGGCTATTCAAGGTCCCTTGTGATTCTATATAGAAAAATATTTTTGCAATATACATCATTGGGATTTTGATAGGGATTACATTGACTCTGTAGATTGCTTTGGAATGTATGGACATTGTAACAATAACATCTTTCAGCCCATGAAAATAGGATGTTTTCCCCCTTATTACTATCTTCTATATTTCAATAATGCCTTCTACTCTTCAGTGTACAAGGTTTTCACCTCCATAGGTTTATCCCTAAGAATTCTGATGCTCTTATAAATGGAATTTAAAATTTTTTCCATTACCAATCATTCATTTTTTAGTGTATGGAAACAGCATTGATTTTTGTGTGTTGATTGTGTATCCTGCAACTCTGATGAATCCATTTATTCTAATGGCTTTTCAGTGGAATCTTCAGGATTTCTACATATAAGATCATATAACCTGTAGGGATAATTTTACTTCTTCCTTTCCAATTTGGATGATTTTTATTTATTTTATTGCCTAACTGCTCTGGCTGGGACTTCCAGTATTATGTTAAATAGAAATGGAGAGAGTGGACATCTTTAGTTTGTTCATAATCATAGAAGAAAAGCTTTTAGTTTTTCACCATTGAATATGATATTAGCTGTGGGCTCTTCATATATGGTCTTTATTATGTCAAGGTAGCTTCCTTTTATATCTAGTTTGTTGAAAGTTTTTATCATGAAAGGGTGTTGAAATTTTGTCAAATGTTTTTCTTTTGCATCAGTTGAGAAATATATATAGTTTTTGTCCATTCTGTTAATGGGTGTATTACATTGATTTTTGTAGGTTGAACTATCTTTGCATTCCAGATATAAATCACTTCGTTATGGTGTATAATCTTTTTAATATGCTGCTGAATTTGGTTTGGTAGTATTCTGTTAAGAATTTTTACATCAACACTTATCAGAGATATTAGTATTCTTTTCTTTAATGTCTTTGTCAGGCTTTGGTATTAGGATAATGATGGCCTTGTAGAATGAGTTGAGATGGTGCTTCTTCAGTTTTTTAGAAATGTCTGAGGTGTTAATTCTTTTTTAAATGAAGTCATCAGGTCGTGAATTTTAATTTGTAGGGAGGTTTTTGATTACTGGTTCAATCTCCTTGCTAGTTATAGATCTGTTCATATTTTCTATTTCTTCATAATATATTCTTGGTAGTTCTAGGAATTTATACATTTCTTCAAGGGTTTACCATTTGTTGGCATGCAGTTCATAGTACTCTCATAATTCTTTTTCTTTCTGTGGTATTAGTTGTAATGGCCCCTCTTTCATTTCTGAGTTTCATTTTGTGATAGTCATCTCTTCTTTTTTTTTTCTTAGTTAATCTAGCTAATGGTTCATCAGTTTTGTTGAAATTTAAAAAAACGGCCCTTAGTTTTGTTGATCTTTTCTATTTATTTTCTTGTGTCATTTATTTTGGCTCTGATTTTTGTTTTTTCCTTCCTTCTGCTAATTTTGGGCTTAGTTTGTTCATTGTTTTCTAGTTCCTTGAGCTGTAAAGTTAGGTTGTTGATTTGAGATCTTTCTTCTTTTTTAATGTAAGCATGTACTGTTATAAAATTCCCTTTCAGCACTGCTTTTGTGGCATCCAATAAGTTTTGGTATGTTGTATTTGTTTACTTTTTCCTGTTTGTTTGTTTATTCCCCCCCGCCCCCGGTATGTTGTATTTAATTTTTATTTGCCTCAAGATATTTTCTAATTTCCCTTGTGATTTCTTCTTTGACACATTGGTTGTTTAAGAATGTTTTGTTTAATTTCCATGTTGTAATAGTTAATTTTATGTCATCTAGACTGGGCTAAGGGATGCCAAGATAGCTGGTAAAACCTTATTTCTGGGTATGTCTGTGAGTAGGGTTCAAGAAGCAATCAGCATTTGATTTACTCAGTAGACTGAATAAAGAAGATCCACCCACACCAGTGTGGACAGGTAACATCTAATCTTTTGAAGGCCTGCATTGAACAAAAGGCAGAGGAAAGGTGAACTATCTGCCTCTCTTCTTTAGCTGGGACATCCATCTTCTGCTCTGGGACTGTACTGGTGGCCCTCAACCCCCAA